GCTTGGTTATGGTTTCTGTCTTGTTTTATAATACCTGGATTGGAACCTTTCTCATGGTTCAGAGGTCACCACGGAACCAGTTGGGAGCTGCATGACCTGAGTCTTACTTGGCATGCAGATCTCCCCAGAGCCTTTCTGAAAGCCCATTTGTGTTGGAGGTGAATCACAACAACAACCACCTTTGTCCCTAGGAGACCTAGAGACCCTCACTATCTACTCAGCAATGCCAATTTACATTTTTTCTATATAAATCTTAATTTAGTTTTTTTTTTTTTTGCAAATTTTTTTTTTTTTTTTGAGACAGAGTCTCACTTTGTTGTCCAGGCTAGAGTGAGTGCCGTGGCGTCAGCCTAGCTCACAGCAACCTCAAACTCCTGGGCTTGAGTGATCCTTCTGCCTCAGCCTCCCGAGTAGCTGGGACTACAGGCATGCGCCACCATGCCCGGCTAATTTTTTTTTATATATATATCAGTTGGCCAATTAATTTCTTTCTATTTATAGTAGAGACGGGGTCTCGCTCTTGCTCAGGCTGGTTTTGAACTCCTGACCTTGAGCAATCCGCCCGCCTCGGCCTCCCAAGAGCTAGGATTACAGGCGTGAGCCACAGCGCCCGGCCTTTTTGCAAATTTTATAAGGAGGTTATTTAACAAGTTCTGATACATATTGGTGTTAGAAATTTCAGGAGGATTCTCAAGAAAAGAAACCTGCCTTCACAGACAGTCTTGAATATCCAGCATTTAAAATGAAATTATAGTAATGATAGATGGATGGAAGAAGGAAGAAAGGAAGGGAGGGAGGGAAGGAGGAGGGAATTGAACCCAACATACCAGCTGGAGTTTCTGATACTGACAGGATATGTAAAAACTTGCACTAGAGCTCTGATTTTTACTAAATTCCTTCTAACTGTAAATTTTATACCCTCAAAACTTAAAAAAAAACACATAAAACTCTCAATACTTTCAAGTTTTATATCACAACATTGTACTTTGCCTCTACTGCAAACCAAGATCTTCTTACAAATCTCAGGAATGTTTTAGGTCACTTCTTTGTTACGGATTCCTGCATTTTGGGTAAGCAATCCTTGAAGCAATGTCACCAACTCTAGAGTAAGGTACCAATAGTATGTTTGCTGACATCATCTTTCTTGCCATTGGTGACAATTTAAGGTTCACTTGGACAGGCTTGAGTTTAGAAAATGTTCCCCTTCAGGATTTTGTTAACTACTATATCCCTCCTTCATAAATAATTTTCAGTCTTTAGAATAAACCAGATATTTGCAGTGGTAAGACTTCTTTCTTTTTGAGAAGCAATGTTTAGTTTGGAAATCTAGGACTCCAAATGTAACTTGCTCACCAGATCCCTTGCTTCACTGAAGGAAATGGGGCATCCAAGGCTTTCATCATTCTTATTATCTTGGGCAAATTAAGGCCCATTAATGCAAGTAAATAACAACTGTTCTGATTAATCATAACAATCCTAATAGATAACATTAATGAGCATGTGGTATCTATTGAATGCTGCATTTTACTGATATACTCATTTAATATTCCTACCATTACTAGAATATAGATAATATCATTATTATTCTGATTCTTCACATAGAAGCTTTATGTGTTAAAAAAAAAAAAACTAGCTTAACGGGCACACAATTAAGTGGCAGACTAGGAAACTGAAGCTAATTCTCATGGATTCAAAAGTCCATACTCTTAACTACTATAGTGAACTTTATTACTTAAGAAAATCAAATGGTTCCCTATAGTCATTTATTGATTTTTACAATGTTTGATGTACACCTGTTATGAAGCATTTATTGTCATAGAAAGGAAAAATCATATATCTAGCCGTGGGAATCTCCTTGTAGCTAAAATGGCCTAGAATAGCACCTGATCCACTCAATTACATTTAGATAAAGAACTTATGGCCAGAACCTTTAAATGACTAAGTTAGGAGCTCTGGTTAGTGAATGACACAATCAGAATTAACACTTAGATCTCCTGGATTCCACAATGGTGCCTATATGTAGTAATACCAGTTGTGTCTAAACAAAATCACATGCAATGTTTGAACTAGACAGTGGTATAACTATATTAACTTAAATGCTTTTCATGTGGTCTAAAATGAATTAAAAGGTGATTCTTATGCAAGTAGGCAAAATGGTAGATATTTCCCAAATAGAAAACTCACATGGAAAGATAGACTTAAGAAATATTTTTAACAAATTCAGCTAAGACTTGAGAGTAGTTTAAACCACTCAGGAGTGAGTAAGATAACATTGTGGGAGAATTTTGCTTGAGGAAATGCTATAATTTGTTTTCTTTTAAGTGCAATCCAGTTCCAATTTTAGTTTTTGCTAAAATCTTACTAAACACAGCAGCAGGATTAAGAGTAATGGAGGTTTTGTACTGTCTCTGTCTCAGATTTTCTACTTCTGCAAAAAAATCACAAAAATTGACATTAAAAATCTCCCTTTACAATGGGAAACATCTGGTTTGTTAATTTCCTGATCACCCAGTCAAAATTTTATCCACACTTGCTAAGTCAGGAAAAGACATAGCCAAGTTTTCAAAGGACAAATGGCAAACAGATTTTAGGTATCATTTGATATTGTTTATGAAACTTGTGGCCTGGTTATAAATTATACTTGAAATTATAGGCTAATTTGTAAATAGATGATGATTTTTATGACAATCTAGAACTATCTATCTAAATTTAAAACATGAAAATTTTGATTTAGAACTTAATCTTCAAAAATTTATGCCACAGAAGTATTCATGTGTATGAACAAAGATGTTCCTGTAGGATGTCTAGTGTAGTGATACTTGTAATAAATGTAATATTTTAAATCATATAATGATCAATAGGGGAATTATTAGATAAACCATAAAACATTAATATTATGAAACATTATAAGCCTTTGCAATGACTGAGGTAAAACTATGCTAACATAGAATTACTTCCAACATATCTATTTTAAATAATACTCAATCTGTAATTCAGAGAAATTATAACTCAATTTAAGTTTTGAGTACATGTAGATGTAGATAAATGATATATAGATTGATAAACAGACATAAATATTAAAAATTATATGAAAGTCAATTCATAAGAGGAAGGGGGAAGGAGATTAGAAGAAGTTTTACTTTTAATGACTCTAGATTTACATTTTGCTTTACTAAGTAAAATGAGTAAAATAATTATATTTGGTGCTTAAGGGATTTTGTTCATTTTCAAGGCAGAATTAATACTACTTTTAAGAAACCTTAAACTTTGCAATTTGATTTCTAGAAACTATTGTATATGTTATCACCAAAAGAAATTTATCAAAAGTTTTAGAAAATAAAATGTTATTAAAATAGCTCTCTAATTAGTATCTATTTGTTTCTTACTCAAAATTCTAGGAATCCATAATCTCCCTTAGAGGATCAAATTTAATACAACCATCTATGAAATTATTTCAAAAACATGTTTTCCAAGAGATAACCTTTTAAGAGCCTCTCCTTCTGAAACTTTATTTTCAATAGTTATCTATGCCTTGCATTTTGCTTCATCTTCTAGAGAGATGCATTTGTCTTCCATTTGTGTATGGAGTGAAGTTGTGGAACATGAACTTTTTCATTTCTTCTACAGGAGATTTAGGTCTCAAAGTGCTTGAATGATTTGATTACCTACTTCAACAAAGAGGGTTGATAATCACAGAAGACAGATCTATTGCTGATAAATGAAAGTCTGCCAATGATTTATTAGGGCTTTGAAAGAGCAATGCAATTGTTATGGCTGAGCAGCCATTTCTATTATAAATATCTAGTTTGGGGCTTTCATTTTATGGCAAAACCATACATGAGGCTGAAGGGTTCACTACTTTAAGGCCAACTTATAATTATTTAGTTAGAATTATTGGTCAGAAATTTGAGTTAATTAGATACATTTTTGTCTTGCCTTTTTTATTGTGGTTTTCCAATGTCATCAAAATATCAATTTTAAATACTTCAAGGATTTTATAGCATGTTGTATGCCCTGGTATTTCTAAATACTCTAGAGTTTTCTCATATTCTGATGTCACAAAAAGTGATGTGTTTTGAAAAATGGCACAAAGGATCCCATTTCAATCTATAAAACCATGACAAGTTAAAAGAAGGCCGTTTGCTTTAGAAATCATCTTTCATTAATCTAGCATCATCTGAGAATGCTTCTTTAAAAAAATTCTAAAATCATTTGCTCAAGCTGATGGTCCTTAGTGACTCACTTTTAATGTCTGAATCAAACAATGTCTTTATCCTGAAATTCTAAAATGTTGATTGAATTGGATAAAATTTAAGTAATGCTAGAGAATACTAAGAAGTTCTGGATGTAATTTTTTCTTTCTATTTGTGTGGATGCAAGTTTGAGACCAATATATTTTTGAAATGAATGTATTTTTTTGTCATTTAAAGGAAATTCAATACTCAAATATGGGGTAGAGAGAGATGTGATATTACTGATTAAGATTTGCAGTTTGCAGAACCATTAGTGACAGATTATCATGTAATCATGACCAAAGGAAATTAACACTTGGTGAAAACATAATTAGTGTCAGAAAGGTTATAGTATTAGCTCATTTATTGCTTATAAAAACTTGATTGTAAAGAACTCAATCTCACAATCTCAGAGATGATAAATAACATGTCTAAGATCAAAAGTCAAATAAAGAGAAAAGCTGGAACTTCAACAAAAGGCTGTCTAACACAAAACTTGTACTCTTGTGAGTACTTTTTTTTTTCAGATAACAAGGGGTTTATTTTCAAAAGCAATACAACTGCTGTTTTTGTTTCCAGTATTTACATCACACCACTTACACACACAGTAATTTCTGAGACATAATGTTTCAGTCTTCCCGTACTATTCAGTTTGGTTAATTTTCAACGCACACCAAACTGGACCTTTAGGTTGTCTGCATTTGAGAGACTGAAGATAAGACTATTGAAGAAAACATCATGTGGAAACCAAAATCTCGATCATCAGTGATTCTCCATCACTGCCCATTCTGTTATCTGAGCTTGATCACAAAATCACATCAGTTGAAGGAGAAAAGAGCCATGCTGAAGCCAAGGTGTTAGGACAGGGGTGAAGGGTCTTGCTGGTCCTCAGGAAGAGCAGCTTCATTCTGCTCCTCACTTTTCTCGTTGGATGGCTCTTCATAAACAGGCTCATTAAGATCTTCGCTGCCCCCTTCACTGTGCTCCTCACTGTGGTCTTCACTTGGCTCCACAGTCTGCTCCAGGCTGTTCTCCAGAAGTGTGGGAGAACTGCTTATTCTACTTTCTTCTTCAGCTGTCTCATTTAAGGGTTGGGAAGGAGGTGGTGTGGGAGTATTAGATTGGATGATACTTTCAATGGAAGAGATGGGGGCTTTGGTTAGAGCAGTATCCGCTACAATCTCATTCTGAGGCAAAGGTAACTTTTCCACAAGTTTCTACTGAATGATGCTCATGTCTTTTCCACCAGTTGAAATCAGGTGACTGTCATTATGAGTAAAACTGACATTGGTGACATGGCTGCTGTGGGCACTGTGCTTGTGACTGGGAGCCTTTGCTTTGGACCAGGGATACTGAAACAGATGGACTTTACAAAAGTCATTAGCAACAGCTATCACCTTTCTGTTGTGGGATTGCACCAGTGCATTTATATCTGTCCGGTCGGATCCTTCTGGCCAGACACCAAAGACTTGAAAGCCTAGCACGCAGGTATATGTTGTCCAATCAATGTCCGATGACTCTCTTTTCCTATTTTATCTTTTAAAAATAATGGCAAATACATGTGTATGTAGGTAGTTGTGTTTCAGAACAGAACATTTGTTAACTTGATATATATTATACTAGAATGTAAGCTCCATGTGGGTAGAGGCCATGTATGTTCTGTTTCTTTCTATTAATATATATCCAGCTCTTAATTCAGTGCCCAGTGCCAGCATACTGCAGATGCTTAAGAAATTCAGTGAGTGTGTGAATGGAAATAAAAAGTAATATCCACTTGGCTGAATACCAATATCAATTATAATATTAATACATATGAGTAATATAAATAATTTATACACTATGTTTCAATGTTTCAAAGGTCTTTCCAAGTTTTCAGTACTAAGCCCATGTCTTGTAAATACTGTGCATAATTACCTGTCACTAATCAAATGTTTTATCCATAAGGTAGATATTGGAAATACACTCATAACAACACCAGCTGCTAACCCAGAACACAGCCTCAGATTCCTACTGAAATAGGGACACCACAGCAAAATAATCCAAATAGGTTTAGGATTGAAAAACATATGCCAGCTCTGGCTTAAGTTTGGGATTGGTGATTTTGTTCTACTTTGTGAAGCCTTACATTTATTCATATTTAACATTTAGCAAAGGACCTTTACAACTATTATCCCCATCTTATCTCACACAAACCTGAAAGATGAGATGGGCATATTATTATTATTTTACAGAAAAGCCTCAAATGATGAGTGTCTCAGTCTGTTCAGGCTGCTGTAACAGAATACTAGGGTGGCTTATAAACAACAGAAATTTATTCTCAAAGTTCTGTAGGCTGGAAAGTCCAAGATCAAAATAGATTTGATGGCTGGTGAGTGCCCACTTTTTGTATCATATTAATACATGGCCATTGCTTGCTGTGTCCTCACAAGGCTTAAGGGATGAGGGAACTCTCTTTTATAAGAGTACTAATCCCATTCATGAGGGCTCTACTGTTATAATCTGATTACCTCTCAAAGGCTCCACCTCTAATATCATCACAAGGGGTTTAGGATTTCTACATAGGAATTTTGGGGGAACACAAACATTCAGTCTATTGCAATGAGTCAGTATCTTATAAGGTTTAGGTAGTTGAGAGAAAAGTAGAATTCAGATTTTCTGATTCTAAGCCCAGTGAGCTCTACTTGTTGCCTTGCTGCCTCCACTCAAATTCCTAGTTACATAATTTGGAAACTGGTTACTTTTATCATAGTCAAATGCAAATTCATATGAGTTGCTTTTCTAAATAGTTAATTCTAACATGAGAGCGAATCCATAGAATCCTTCATTTTCTAGCATAATGCCAATTAATGTTTATTAATTTAGAAACCAACTTCTATATTGCTGGCAAATTTATAAGAAAAATAGTTATATAACTAGACAGTAAAAGAACTAAAAATATCATGCCTCGGTGTCTTTAAATATGAGTGGAATTATTCATTTAATAATTTCTCTTTAGTGAAATGTAAAAGAATATATTTCCTTGATTAAATATTGCTACAATCACAGAGAATAGACTCTTGATGATGATCTTCAAGTTAATAAACAGAAGATTTTAGCCTAACAATAAATAAACACATTGTTAGCATGACTATTTTAAGAAGGAGTACTGGGTTGAGTGGTGTACTCCCAAAGTACATTTCCTATGCAGAACTTTAAAATGTGACCTGACCTTATTTGGAAACAGATTCATTGCAGATGTAATTTGTGAAGATGAGGTCATATTGGAGTAGTGTAGGTCCTTAACCGCATATAACTGGTGTCCTCATAAGAAGAGAAGACACACAGACACACAGAGAATACCATGCGATGATGGAAGAAGAGATTGTACTGAGAAATCTACAAACCAAGGAACTTCAAAGATTGCTGGGAACAACAGAAGCTGAATGAAAGGAATGGCAGACCCCCCCCCACCTCATAGAACCTTCAGAAGGAACATGACTCTACTGACACCTTGATTTCAGACTTCTAGCTCTTGAACCACAATAGAAAGTATACATTTGTGCTGCTATAAGCCCTCCAGTTTGTGGCAATTTATTATGTCAGCCCTGAGAAACTGATACAGAGGCTATTGGAAAACAGAATAAAATGAAGGTATTTAAATAAGGGGTGAAAACCAGATGTGGAAATCTTAAAGACTATTATTTTTCAGGAATGGGCACTTTGTTGATGTTTTTGTTTCTTGGGATAAAGGCAAATTGAAAAAGGATTGCCCCTCACTGTAGCAATTTTCACAAGTAGATATCTGCATGACATAAAAGAAAGATGTCAAATTGGAAAGAAAATACATAACATTACTATGGCACATAAATGAAGTTATTGACCTTCAACTGAACAAATGAAGTTACAGTAGTCTTTAGTTCATTCTTTCCCACCTTTGAGGGTTCAATTGAATTGCCCTGAATCAATTGCTCTGTCATACCCCTATTGTCTCTTGTGAGATAAGTAACTTGCTTTCTTTTTTATGAAACCACTGATGAACATAATTAAAAGATATTGAGCTCTCGCCGAATACTAGGCTTTATTCTGAGTACTTTTTCATTACTTCATTTAATCCTTATAAAAAATGTTGCCATTAACATTGTCTTCTCTATTTTATATTAAACTTTAGAACCATTAAAGAAATTGGTCATTGCCACATAGCTAAGAAGTAATAGAACCAATATCCCAGCTCAGATACTTTTACTTCAGAGCCAACCTCTTAACTATTAATATTTAGTACTGCTTGAATCACAAGGGAGATTTAGTCTATCTTCACTTTCACTTCTGACTAATCTAGAATATATTGTTTAAGATGTGTAGAAGTTTCCTGCCTTGGAAACTGAGAATGTATGTCTAGATGATTTGGCTTTTTTGTTCAGTAATTTTTTGTGTAACACTCAGTTCTTCATGATCACTTGACCATATTTCTGAATCAATTTTCATAAAAATTGATTCTCTGGTAACCTGCCTTTGTTTCAACTCTGACCTGGTATCTGCTGCCTTATGAATGACACTGAAACCTGGGTTTTTCCTCTGATGCTGTTCATGAAGAGCTACCAGTGTTCTTGGACTAACATTCTAATTTCTTTCAGCCCTATACCTATACTGAACATGGTATTCATTCTAGAACTCCTCTGGCAGCACCACCCTGCTTGGACCACTGAGGAATGCTTAATATTTTCAGGAGAATGAATAGGTTGCTATAGGTACTCATGGCAGCCCATTGCTTTTATTTATACAAACTAGCCACTTGCAGATAACTTGGGAATGGTATAAAATTGTACAGTGTTTGGGAGGCAAATAAATAAATAGCCTGATTTTCTGAGAGGCAGAGATACTTGCTACTTTTATATCAATGCCTTCAATGACTTACACTGTGGTTGAAACATGATAATTGAAATGAATTTGGGTAATTAATGGATAAATGCATATTAGTGATGGAAGCATCCTCAATGACTTTTCTACTTACAAATTTATTTCTTGTATGAAACAACTCCATTGCATTAGTAAATTTGTTAAACAAAATTCAAAAAGGATGTAAATTCCATGTCATCAATATTAGCTAAGACCAGGTGGGCTTTATTCCAGGGATGCAAAGCTGGTTCAACATACGCAAATCTATAAATGCAATTCGCCTCATAAATAAGAGCAAGAACAAAGACCATATGATTCTCTCTATAGATGCAGATAAGGCATTTGACAAAGTCCAACATGCCTTTATGATAAAAACTCTTAACAAAATAGGCATAGATGGCTTATTCCTTAAAATTATCAAGTCCATTTATGACAAACCCACGGCCAATATTATACTGAATGGGGAAAAATTGAAACCATTCCCACTTCGAACTGGAGCTAGACAAGGATGCCCACTACCACCACTTCTATTCAACATAGTGCTTGAAATCCTAGCTATAGCAATCAAGCAAGAGAGGGGTATTAAGGGCATCCAAGTGGGGGCAGATGAGATCAAACTTTCGCTCTTTGCTGATGATATGATATTATATCTAGAAAACCCCATGGATTCATCCAAGAGATTCCTAGATTTGATAAATGAATTCAGTAAAGTCTCAGGTTACAAAATCAATATACACAAATCAGAAGCATTCATATACACAAATAACAGTCAAGCCGAAATTCAAATCAAAAATGCAATAATTTTACTATGGCCCCCAAGAAAATTAAATATCTACAAATATATTTAATGAAAGATATGAAAGATGTATATAAGGAGAACTACAAAATGCTAAAAAAAAGAAATTGTAGAAGATGTAAACAGATAGAAAAATCGAGCTTGTTCATGGATTGGTATAATCAATATTGTTAAAATGTCAATATTACCTAAAGTGATCCACAGAATAAATTCAATTCTCATCAAAGTAATATCATCATTCTTTACAGATCTAGAAAAAATAATTCTTAACTTTGTATGGAGCCAGAAAAGACCTCATATAACCAAAGCAATCTTAAGTAAAAAGAATAAACTGGGAAGCATCAGTCTTCCAGACGTCAACTGTACTACAAAGCAATAATAATTAAAACAGCCTGGGATTGGCACAAGAACAGAGACATTGATCTTTGGAACAGGACTGAGATTCCAGAGATGAAACCATCTGCATATGGTAATCCAATCTTTGATAAAGCAGACAAAAATATACATTGTGGAAAAGAATCTCTTTTTAATAAATGGTGCTGGTAAAACAGGAAAGCTACATGCAGAAGAATGAAACTGGATCCCTACCTCTCACCTCTTACAAAAATCCACTCAAAATGGATAGCAGATTTAAACCTAAGGTATGAAACCTTAAGAATCCTAGAAGAAGATGTTGGGAAGACCCTTTCAGACATTGGCCTAGTCAAATAATATTTGAACAAGATCCCCAAAGCAATAACTGCAGCAACAAAAATAAACAAATGTGATCTGATCAAATTAAAAAGCTCTGTGCAGCGAAGGAAACTGTCACTAGAGCAAATAGACAACCTACAGAATAAAGGTCTGATAATAAGAATCA